TTTTTTTAAAAGATAGGACAGAAAATGACTTCTATACTTTTAAAATTTGCCCAAAATTTAGGAGGTCTTTAGACTGATCCAACTATATAATCATTGAGTCATAGGAAAAACATATAAGAGACAAATTAAAAATTGAGATTTTGGGAATCAAGTCAAAGCCAAATTTGTAAAATTTTTTAGGTTACACGATTAACAATGCATAAAATCACGTGAAAGTCACGGGCGTGCATTTAGGGAGGGTGGTTTTATATAGTTGGGAATGAGGAAAGACCGTGCAGTGCAGGTATAGAGGTGTTTGCTTATCTCTTAAGTCCCAAGCTTGAGAATGAGTGAAAGCATGTATTTAGATAGGATATACATTTATGGGGTGTGCATTTAGGGGGTTGACTGTAAAAATCTTAAAATACTAATGTAGCCATTAATCAAACACCCCAATCAGATTGCAAATGAGTATCATCCACTCACAAATTGACTCATCTATTAGAAGGGTTTAGATTTCTCAGAAAACAAGATATTCACCAAAAAATTTAGTTTAAAAATATATGTTGAACATCTGAAAACATTTGCCCAGAAATATGTTAAAACATTGAAGCAGTAGCTGATCATATTCCTTTTTTCCAACAAATTGAGGTTTACTTGAACATAATAAAAAGCACATAACTGAGAATGCAAACCTCCCAATAAAGCTTAAACTTCAGGGACACATCCTCCCTGAAAATTTAGCAACATTATTGTATCTTCAGGGCACACTGATCAGATTAGCCTTTATGCACACAAGGAAAGTGATAATGACTGTAATGTTTTAAAGTATTCAAGGTAATCTACTTCAACATTTGTAAATTTCCCAATATCAAATCATCTAGGAGTAGTTGTCCCTCCCATCTTTAACAGTCATGTTGCTTTTCTTTATCTTTGACACTTTCTTATAATAATTATACACTTAATATTAATATTAATAATAATTATGAAAACAGTTATACCAATCATTTATTATCTTGATAAGAATCTTGTAATATTTACCTAAAAAATGTGACCCATTCTACTCCACGTCTTGATTTAATAATTATATTTATAAAATAAAAAAGACATAACACAAAAAAAATTTTGTACCTCTGGCTATTAATAAATAATACATTTCTTCAGGAGAACCAGCCATTCCAAACATTCATCTTGGACTGACTCATTGTCTAAAAAATTTTTTGTTTTATGGGTCACAAGGAAAGGACAGGGTATATACAGGTAATTGTGGCTAATGCCTATCCCCTGTCCTTTTCTAGTCACCCTTGTTTTATCAGTTAATCAATTAATTTTTTATTTTTTTTTTGCCAATTAATTTTAAAAAATAATGTCATCTTCAGAAGTGCAACAAAAGAGAAAAGGTGAATTTGTTGTTGGAGGAAACAAGTAAATATTATTTATTAGTTAACATCAATGTCTCCAGTTTACATATATCCTTAGTGAATTCAGACATTAATGTCTTCAGCTTACATATATCCTAATTGTAATCAAAGACATCAATGTCTTCAGCTTACATATATTTTTATACTACTTGAAGACATTAGTGTCTCCAGCTTGTGTATATTTTTATACTATTTGAAGACATAAATGTCTCTGACTCCTTTATTTATTATATATTAATTAATTACCAGTGATCAGCATATAAGTATATCCCTCGTATGTGATTATGAAGGTAAAAGCTGTATCCCTATGTTCACAGGGATATAGGTGTAGCCTTTCAGAAATCGTTTGCATATGGTGGGTTTTGTTACAGCATGCCTCAATTAATACAAATATGATTTAAAAAACAAATTCCTTTTTTTCTCTTGTCCATCTGAACAATGTTTGAGACTTGAATTCCTAATTGTCATCTCTGTGATAAATGGACTGATTGCAGAAAATTAATTAATTATCTTCCTGCATTATTATATTTTTTTTTCTTGCCATATTTTCACAGATGTTGAACCCAATTACATCTGATTCTTCAAGTTCTAATACTCAACAAACTTCTCTTTCGCCTCCTCTATCTTTTTCACACTCTTTTTCATCACTTTCTCTAATCTAATACTATTAAATAATAAAATAGATACGCAAAGAAAAAAAGGAATTTGTTTTTTAAATCATATTTGTATTAATTGAG